CACAAAAGCAACTCAAAAATGGGCTAATAGACAAAGTTCTGAAGAGAACTCCAAACTTTCTACCATCCATAGCATCTCCTGGTTTTGAGTGGTAGAATGGCTTCCCCAAAATTAATTGAAAATGATTTCTGAACCAACCTTCCTCTCCTCCTCTTCCTCTACACCTAAGGCAGTTTGGTCACTGACTGAGCTATCACCAGAAAGGGATTAACTTCTCACAGCCACTTCCCAAATAATAATTAGGAAAAGGGGTTGGGTATTACGTTGCCCCATTTAAAAAATCAAAATTCCACCTGACCCTTCCTGGCTATGGTGTTTATTTCCCTTAACAGCCTGGTTGTTATAACCAATGTGCTGTAGCTTAGCCAATGAAGGCATGGGAGTTTCATACTTAATTCTGGATTAGCTACCTATATTCTTTTGTTGGATTGTCACGTGAAAAGGATAATGAGCATTTGGTTAAGAATCCTGATCACAAAGCTCCACTATAGTGTTTTACATGGTCCAATGTGAAGTACATCATATGTCTTTGTAAGTTTTATAAAAATGTACTGGCCTTTTTGCAGTTGACCCTTTTACACAAAAACTATGAAAGTAGCAATAACTGAGAAAAAGGTAAAGTTATAGCCAGTTAACGAGACACATTGGTTTCGCAAAAGTGGGAAGAGGACAAGAATCCATTCACCTGGGAAGGAGATATCATAGCCCCCTGAAAATATAAGAGAGGGAAAAACATTGATCTGTTGTCATTCAAGGTCATTCCGGGAGCCTGCATTAGGAGGAAAGCACTGCAGTAGTATCTTGCAAATTATCGCAAATCCCCAAGTATAATTCTTGGGTCTGCTATTTCAGCAGGGTGGTTCTGACATGATTTCTTAGCCACTGTCCTTAACATTACTCAGAAGCCTATCAGAAAGAGCACAATACGACCCCACCTCTGGCACCTCTTACAAAAAACACCATTCTATACCTCCAATAAGTTTTCCTACTCTTTTTTTTGTCAGCATCGCTCACTCATTCTATAGGGCAATTGGATGCTGACAAATGTTAGTGTGGGTAAATAATTCAGATTTGACTGCCTGTGCTTAGGCCATCTCTGTAACAGGAAACAATAGATTCAACAATTTCAACTGAACCAGGATGCTGAGAGCCTATCAGGCTGACTAGAGGCCACATTGGAGGCAGTGTCAACCTCTATGTCCGAGAAAATAGTCCTTTTGCAATAATTGTAACCAATACATTACTTCCAAGGTTGCTATGTGTCCCCTGAGAATTGTGCTTCTTATGTAAAAATAAGACATTAACTTGTCTCCCTCCCCAAAACATAATGACTTACATATTATGAGTGCTTAAAAGAGACCTTTAGGTATTTACAAAAATACCACTTCCAAATGGAAGACATTTGGGTCAGCCTCTACCCATTGGTCAAGTTTATGGGTAGTAAAACTGCTCTACACTTCCTCCTTGAAGGATAAGGTAGAGTTTGTGATTTTCTTTTCATCTGGTTGGGTATAGGAACTTAGGGAACATGTTTGAGGTTCCCTGAGTTTGGCAGGCTAGCCTTATTTTATTCTTGGAGTCCTGCTAATAGTAGCCTGAATTAAATGCTGTCTGAGACAACTGAAGTGATTTTGTCCCAAATTCTGGCATTCTGATTTAAAATAGGTGATAAAATAGCATATTCATGGGACAATTTTTACCAGAAACCAAAATACAATAGAAAGGAGAGATGAATATTGTTGGAAACAATTCTCCCTGGATGTCTCATCTTCTTGCATATCTTTAAACAGAGGCATTGATGGCTTTTGTTCTGCACTACTTTTTTTTTCAGTAATATACCCAAAGAATTCTTAGATGATAGACTTTGCTTCCTTCCAGAGCTGAAGTCAGGGTTGTTTACTATTCAGTATATGAAAGATAATGTCTCTTTCTGGGGAAAAGGTCAGGCAGGTTTGCTCATGGCCCATTACAAAAGATGCTGCATAGGCTTAGGGCCATTCTGCATGACCCCTGTGGGAATTGAGAGACAAGGGAAACTGGTGTGGACATGAAGATTGTGCAGCCTCCCGTGTCAGGAGTAATAAAGTTCTTTGATTCTGACCCAGCAGTCAGAATCCTCCACCATCATTCATGAACCTATACAAGCTTGTGAGCAAGTAAAATTTCAGACTTTCCACAGTTCTTGACATTAACTTTATATATTCAATCTCAATATATATGGAGAAAATTCACTGTCTCTTCACAAACATTTGCGGTGAAATATATGCAGAGCCAAATGAAAGCTGATAATACAATCTGAAATTTGATTCCCTTTTCCTATGTCTTCAAATTTATTTTATAGCACATTTTCATGCAATAAAAAGTCATGTTAATTTTGCTTTACTCTGCATATAAATTTGCATTTGTTTTTATATAAAAATGACACATCACATTACCCTTCACATTGTTTACCAACTGAACTACTTAACTTGCTCTCTGAGCCTCCCAAATTCATGAGATATTGATGAACTTGAATGTTCACTGGCATAAGCCTCTTTATCTAGTGAGCATAAGTCATTAATTCCCTGATGGTTGGTTTGGCTAAGATTTTAAATGGTTGCTACAGGGTGGTTGTGATATTCATCATCTCAATACCAGATTTTCTGATTCTCTGGAGTCATGTTAAAATCTAGTAATTTCATTTTGAGGAATGAATGCCTTGCACAGTATTTTTTTTTCTCTTTGCCCGATTGCTAATTTTTCAAAGCTCCCAGTGGTACACTTAAAGATGGTCTGCCCCCATCACATGCCCTGGGAATCATGAAATAATGACTTCTTGGAGATTCTAACACCTTCTTTATTAGCCTGTTTGTAAACATATGAATGACTGGCAGCCTTCACATAAGGCAATCACCTGACTCTTCCCTTCTTTACATCTGGATTTTTCTATTTTTAATGGATTCTAAGTTGGAATTTAATTTTCATTAATATTAAGACTATTATCCTAGATACAAAATGTCAAGATCTATAGAAATTAGAATTTTATAAATGTATGAATTTTAAACTTTCTTAATTGATGCATTTTTTTTTTTTGCAAACCTATTCACTATCATCAGCCATATGGGATAAGCGAGTAGCAAAAAAGATCACTTTCTTCATACTTAGAAGTGCTCCTGGGAATGGAGAAAATGTGAGGGCATTTAGAATATTTGATCATCCCCTTGGTATTTACTACCCAGAGTAAATGCATAGGTAATCACAGATTTATATTAAGAATTTGGAATCAAATACTATGAACCTCTCAAAATAGTTGACATAATTAAGTTCACCCCAGATATTAAAGTAAGCAAATCCAATGAATAACTGATAGAGCTTTAGAATGTGTTGAAAGTTCTATCCATGTAGAAATATATTTAATACTACGTGGTTATATTTTAAAGTGGAACAATGAAGAAACCATCATTTTTATTCATTATCAATCTAAACATAATTTCCAAAATGATTTATAACTTTATTGTTTTAAGTCAAGTCATCCCTTTTATGGTGTTTGTTTCTGAGGCAAAAATAAAACATGGGAAAAACTTTCTATAAATTGTTATTATGAAAAATATGTTAATGTATTCTGGAGTATCCACAAGACTAAAATTCATTTTAATAGAAGCGAAATTTAATAGAAATGGCCAGTGAGTTATTTTAAGTTTCTCTGTTCAGTACAATTATTTAGAATATGCTCCTACTAAAATATCATCCTAGAGTATCTGGAATCAGTGTAAATACATATAAAATAAGATATTTGACCTTCAATATGTTATGGATTAATACTGGATAAGTGGTCATTGGGACACAATAATATATACTGACATTTAAGAGAGAGAAACAAAGATACATAGGGAAGTTTAAAGAACAGAACCAAGGAGTGATTGATGAAGGAGAAGGCATTTAAGATAAACCCTCACATGTGTAAGATTTTGAAACCTAGAAATTAAGAAAGTATGTTTCTCTAGAAGAGAATAATTCTAAATATTAGAATATTTCAGCTCTTAACATATAATTCTTAATTGTTAAGAATATAAAAAGTAAAGTAAAACATAGACCCTCTCGATGACAATTGATCTTTAAGGAATTATTTTGGGAAGAGTATAGAAGACTGAAAAATTCCTTACTGCTGATACAATTGAAGGCAACAGGCACAATATGGGGATGAGAAACAACCATAAGGTAAGAAGCCAAGAATTAGGCACCAGCTTGAAGGTGATGTACTGGAAAGTAATTTTAGTCTATTGGTGTTTTGTGCTACTCAGGAGATTCCTTTAAGCCAACTGTTTCTGCTCAGGAGATGTTGCCTTGTGAGTTAGAACATAGGGCGAAGATTATTCTATTTTCCTTTCATTTGATCAGGTACTTCTTTTAAAGGCTGCCTATAAAAAGATGGGGTGCCATTTTCATGTCTAATTTTAGGTAAATAAAAATGTGAGTGTTTAGTAGAATGTCTGTCATATTCAGTAAATTAATAACCCATATTTTCTTTATCTACTTGAGTAAACTTTGTGGGGAGTAATAGATATGCCTTGGATCTGAAAATGCTACCACCACAGGGCCATCTGGCTAATCAGATGTCAGTTTTCCCTTTTTGTCAGAAAATTAATTTTTCTGGTAGAAAGGGAGCATTGCTAGAAAACGTTCAGAGACAAGATAACCAAACTCTTATCAGAATTCTTGTGTAATAATGCTGTAAAATGTAAAAATTCCGTCAGTTTCATAATTCCTTTTCATTTAGAGTACTTGAAGGTGAATCAAAAGTATGTCTGACTTAACAAAAAAGAAATCATGATTTTAAAAATATATGGTATAGGGAAATATTAAAATTACTCATGGATATAATTATAAGCTTTGCCACTTAAAACCCATGACATTGAACGGAACTGCCTCTTCTTTTTTTTTTTTTTTAATTTCAGTTTCCACATACATAAATCATATCAACCTTACAAAAAGTCATAAGATAATATATTTCAATCTTCTAGTGCAGTATGAAGCATTCTTCAGAGACCTCCTTGCCAGCCAGGTGGGTTTTACAGAAGCACATCTTAGCCTGCAAATTTGATGAAGGTAGGAATCTTCATTCTTAATACTAGCTCTTGGTTACATAGTACACATAGCAGGGGCTCCATAAATATTCATACAAGGAATAAATGAATAATGCAATGACCCAAATTCAATTTTAAATTTAGAAAGCGTTTATATTAATTTCTCTGAGTTAAATTCTGAAATCCATTTATTAAAATTGATTGGGGATTTTCTATTTTGATATTTCAGAGATATGGAATCACAGTAGAAAATACATCTACATCCCTTACTTCTAGTTTCTGGGTGAGGAATGCACATAGGAAAGTCTCTATAAATAGATGCAAAATGATTAATGCTATCATTCAATTTAGTTCTAAATTAGGAAGGCTTATGTTTTAATTCTAGTGAGTTCAGTTTTGATATTCCAGAAACTTGGTTATTAAGTGTGATATGTAGTCTTCTAAGTATTTTCTCCTCCTCCTCCTCTTCCTCCTCCTCCTCCTTCTCTTTCGTCTTTTCTTTCTCCTTCTCCTCCTCTTCTTCTTCACCATATTTTGATTTTGTACCAATGTTATATTGTGTCAAACCTTATATAATACCTATCATTGCTTTTCTAGTATAATCAAGAATTGGGTCTGGAAAATAGAAAGTGAAAAATTGTATTCAATAGAAACATGCTGAACTTGTATAAATCCTGCCAATGACATATTTCACAGTACACATGCAATGTGATGTGTATCAACATATATTTTGAAACCCTGTTGAGATAAAATGCATACAAATGTTCATGATAAAGATTAAGGAAATTCACTACGTTGTATCTAATAATTGATGTATTTTATGTGTAGTTTTAGAAACTGTCTCCTTTTATCCATTGCCATTGTTTCTATCTTAGCTAAGGCATGTCTTGTCTAGATTACATCAGCAACCTACTGATTGGGTCATCACCTCCAGTGCTGCCTGCCAATAATGCATTATCCATACTCTTCCCAAAGTAATCATTCCAAGACATACAATAAATCTAAGTCTCCTACTTGTATTATTCAAAAATATCCTTCAGGCAAAAAAATCTAAATCTTCACTTTGTAATGCAAAGACATTTATAATTTGGCTTCTGATTAACACTCCAATGTCATCTTATAACAGTCTTTCTGCACATAGAGACACATTGGCATGTCTGCTCATATGAATATATCACAGTGCCTTGAGCACTCCATGATTCTTCATCCCTCCGTGCCTTGGCATCCATCGTTCCTTCTGTTTATAAAACATTCTCTTTCCTCTACCTTTCACTCTCAGGCCTACAATCATTTACCTTCCAACATGCAACAGAAACATCATCATTAAGGTTTCACAGAAATTCAGAGACAGTCTTACTTGCTTCCATTTTGTTTTATTTTTAAAAATTTTTAATGTTTATTTATTTTTGAGACAGAGAGAGAGAGAGAGAGAGAGAGAGAGAGCTCAAATGGGGGAGGGACACAGAGAGCGAGACACAGAATCCGAAGCAGGTTTGAGGTTCTGAGCTGTCAGCACAGAGCTCGACGCAGGGCTCGAACCATAAACCATGAGATCATGACCTAAGCTGAAGTCGGACACTTAACCGACTGAGCCACCCAGGTGCCCTCTATTTTATTTTCTGATAGCACTCTCTCTCTATATATATATGATTCTTGAGTACTTTTAATTTGGTTAATAAAACTGAAGAAGAAAACTTATAATTTTACTCAGTTTATATTAATTCAAATTTAAAAAGATATATCTGGATAGTGATCATTCTATTAGACACCACAGAATTAGAAGAGAGGCTTAATTTCATGGTTATGCTACTAACTTACATATATTAGCTTAGGCAAGTCATATAACATTTCTGAATATCACTTACTTTAATAATAAAGTGTACATTTTAACATTAATATTATTCACAAAGTTTAGAGATGTCAAAATTAGAAAATATATTATTAATAATAGCAATTCATTATTATTATTAAAACACATTATTCATAGCAATGCATTATGAAGTGTTAGTTATGATGACTGAAAGACCATGAGAAATAACTTTAAAAAAATATACTCTTCTACTATCAATGCCTAAATCTACACTTATTTATTAGTTTTCTTTATTTAATGCTCAAGTAATTGACAAATTGGTGAACAACCTATTGATTTAGTAACAGCTAATTAATATTCCCTACATAAAGTCATTGTACTATGCTGCCAGTGCATAATTCAATATCACACATTGTTGGAGATATACTGAATATAAAGGCAATATATAAATAGGAAATCCAATTTCTCTCATTAACATGATCTTCCCCTCACTGAATAGTCCCATGTTTTTCACGCTGTATTGGGTTTTAAATAAAATCAAATTTGAAAAATATGTAAATAAAACAGAATTTTCAAGTCACTTAGTTTTATCATTTACATCATTTCATGTTTCTCAATTTTTAATGGCCACTTGAGAAAAACCATATGATATTAAATTTAAATCTATTCTTCAGCAGAAAATATTTAATTACAAATATTACACTGTTGAATAACTGTTGGCTATATCTATCTATATTGATGTCTATGTATCTATATATGTATCTGTCTATATCATAAGAGATATATAATCTTAAAGAAGGTGATTTTTTTAAGTTTATTTATTTAATTTGAGACATAGACAGAAACACAGCAGGAGAGGGGCAAAGAGAGAGGGAAAGAGAGAATACCAAACAGGGTCCATGCTGTCAGCACACAGCCTGATGTGGGGTTCTCCCATGAACCATGAGATCATGACCTGAGCTGAAACCAAGAGTCAGTTGATTAACTGAGCCACCCAGGTGCCCTTTAAAGGAAATGAGTTTTAAAAGGTTTTTATTTTTAGCACACTAAATTTGGTAACTTGGAAATACCTTTCTAAAACCTTTCTGCAGATAATGTCTGCGGCATGATAAAGTAGGGTGTTTTTCACTCAATGTGAATTGCTATTGGACAGAAATATTAAAGTTGTTTCACAATTTTTATCTTACTATATTAGTGATGAAATTATGAATTCATAATATTTTGAAAGCTTATTATTATTAACAGAAGGGACAATATAGACAACTCTGTTAGACCAGATCATTGTCCATGCAGGTATGACTGTATTTGGTAATATTCAGAAGTGAGAACATCATGTTAGGATTTGAATTGTACAGTTTTTTGTTTTACCTTCATGCCACTGTTTTTAACCATGCAACACTCTAGAATTCTTTTTTATTTAGAATATTGAATGTACAAGCTAAGGTTCACCCCATTGAAGAAAGAAAGAAATTTCAGGTGGATATAAACATTCAGCTGCCAAATTTACAGTGATTATTTCATTACTTTAAAAATTGAATAAAAAAGCTGGGACATTTATTCAATTTACTTAGATATACAAATTACACTCTATGAAAATAAGATCAGTTATAATTTGCATTTTCTGGCCATGATGAAGTAACTGATACTAGAAAATTGGGACAAAATACATGGAAAAAACTATTTTTAGAAATTGGAAAACAGACAAAATGAGATTATTATTCCTAAGAGTTCTTATGCTAATCCAGGTGATCTACCTGGCAGCAGTCTCTAAACACAAAGCAAAGAAGGGGTAGGTGTAACAACACTTTTTTTGAGGGGAGTGGGGAGATGTGGGTCATGAATAAAGGTGCTTAGAGCTTGGTATTTTCAGTGAAGACAGACAGAAACAAGGGCTACTTAATCAATGAAAAAAATATATCTATATAATTTATATTTATATCATCTATATATCTATCATCTAGGTCTATCTATCTTTAGGGATACCTTTGAGTCTTTGGCTGTACAAGGATATTGTACACAATTAGATTGAGGTTAAACAATGATAGGCAAAGAACAACTATTAAGAAACAGTTAGCTCGAGTACAACCAGAGTTTATAAAGTCCTGTTGGTTGGAGTCTCAATTAGCCAGAGTGAGGAGACATTGTTGAAAATCTGAATATAGCTAAAATAATCTTAGAGTAATAACTATCCTTACTGCTCACTAAAAAGTTTAAAAAGGAAGGCTTACATGATTCAAGTTGATGCACAAAGTAAATCAACTGCTTGCAAAATACTTTTTAAAATAAAACTACATAAACTCACAAATGCATTCACATGTGCACAAACGCCAAAACATGCAGTATACAATACAAGTTAATAGAAAATCAGAGAGGCACAAGGTGTAACACACAACTATGGTAAAAAAATAGAAACAGAACTAAAACTAAGAAGTAACAGGATTATCAGTCAAGGAATTTAAAACATATATTATAAATGTGTTTAAGAATTTAAGATAAAAAGAACATGAGTATAGAAATGGATGATATGAAAACAACAACCATGAAACAAAACACAGCATTTACGGATCTCAAAAAGCAACAGCTGAAATAATAATAATAATAATAATAATAATAATAGTAAAAAAGAAAATTCTGGACAGGTTTAATATAAAACTGGATAACACAGAAGAAAAGATTTTTAAACTGAAAAAAAAAGGGGAGGGGTAATATAGCTTTCCAAATTTAAGTATCAAGGTAGGTGGGGAAGGCTGAAAAAACAACAAGAAAAACCTAAAGAGACATTCGTTACCTGTGGGAAAATATAAACTAATTTAATACATCTATACTAGGAATCTTGCCAGTAGAAGAGGAGGGGCAGAAAGAATATTTGAATAAATAATATTCAAAAAAAATTTCCAGACTTAAGGAAGAAAATCAACCCATAGATCAAATAAACTTAGTGACTAATAGCAAGATAAACACAAGAAGTACACATGAAACACAGTGAAATAAAATTATGAAAAATCATGGATAAAAAAATCTCAATGTAGCTGGAAAGATAAATGATAACATTACATATAGAGAAAGAAAAGAATAAGCAATAGAACTTACCAAAAGTATGCAAACAAAAAAGTAATAAAATTATCATTTTAAAGAGCTAAAAAAATCCTCTCAACATACAATTATATGTTCTGGTATCAATTGCCTATTGCTGATGTCCATAACATAATTTG